AAGCAATCATAATAATACAATAAAGTTTTTTTGAAAAGGAGAACAGAACTGCAGTTATTAGAGGTAGGAAAGGGGGAGGAGTGGGGGGTTGACAAGAAATTAGTCAAGGGTCGCAAAGATTGATTACATTTTGTAAACATGAGTATACTAATTTTCCTGATTTGATCACCACATATTGTACGCATGTATTGATATTTGATTCCATACCCCACAAATATATATAATCAATTATCTTCCAATAGAAAAACTGTCAAAAAATTTAAAAAATAAATGGGTCTCTTAAAGAGAATTTCAAATCTCTATTTTTGGGAAAAAAGTTTTTAAACAAGTTCTTCATTCTAAAAAAAAAAAGACAAGTAGACATACCCTACAATCTATAACTTCAGTGCAATCTCATATATGTCTTTATCTGAATGAGTTACTGAATAGTGATTAAAGTGGTAATTGAGTGAACATTTTTTTTAATTCAAAATTATTAGAAAAGTACTGTGACAAATTTGATAGAGATTCAATAATGACAATTAAAACACAACTAAATTGGAAAAATCAATTAACCATATCAAAACCTTATCAATACAAATTACTTAAAGAAAGTTCAATTTTATATAATAAATTTCAAATGAATTCATAGTTAGGGTAACCAAATTGGTCCTTTTCTTCTGTGGCAAACTTCTGGATAAACAGATGACTATGCATGGTTTTCCAAGTTGGTTTTGGTTTTGTTTTTGTTTTTTTGGAAAGCTGTAAGTAAATCACTAAGTAAATAACTAAATTATATTCCCAGACATCCCAGCTATATTGCTATTTTATTTTTTGATATTTGAATATGACTTTCATACTATAGATTAAAGGGTCTATTGAAATGTTTGATTTATCTACTTTCTATTAGTAAAATATAATCTTCTTTCATTTTCTTATATACATACCTAAGAAAACAACTTTTAAGTACTCGAATATCAGTGTAATGTCTCCTCACCTGAACTCATGATTTTTAAAGACTTTTTTTCTTCAAGGAAAGTGAGATATATCATAAGTTCTAATACCAAGTCAGATTCTTTTTTATGTAAACATCTACTAGTTATATACTAACACTAATGTGTACATATACTAATTGTTCCAGAAAAACATCATTACATCATTAGTGTGAGGCTGTAATTATATTTATCAGATGACACTGACACTCATCCTCTAAAGACATAAACCATTGTCATTAACTTAATTCTATTAGAGATATGAAAATCCATCTAGAGAAAAATTTAGAAGAAGAACGCCAAATATTACTGCAGCAACAAAAAATATGTCGAAATCGAGCACGTAAATATTTTGTGGAGTCAAACCGGAGAANATAAGTTCTAATACCAAGTCAGATTCTTTTTTATGTAAACATCTACTAGTTATATACTAACACTAATGTGTACATATACTAATTGTTCCAGAAAAACATCATTACATCATTAGTGTGAGGCTGTAATTATATTTATCAGATGACACTGACACTCATCCTCTAAAGACATAAACCATTGTCATTAACTTAATTCTATTAGAGATATGAAAATCCATCTAGAGAAAAATTTAGAAGAAGAACGCCAAATATTACTGCAGCAACAAAAAATATGTCGAAATCGAGCACGTAAATATTTTGTGGAGTCAAACCGGAGAAAAAAGTAAGTAATTGTATTTTATTCAGAAGTGTAAATTCAAAGTCAATATAAATTAATAGTTTCTCTACTTTGTAGCACTTTATGAACCTAAGTCATGACAGTACTTTATCTAGAAAACACTGATTGGGATTTGTGTGGCTTTTATAAATTTTATTATTGTTTTTCTGCCTAAAGCACAAGAATGATGGTGTGTTGTCTAGTTCACTGACTGACCCTAGCAGCCTTTTCCTGTCATAGAATAGCTTATTACAGTGTCATATACACTTCTTAAAATTACTATAAAATGTGTTATCTTCTTTGTTTTTCAGATCATTATTAATTAAAAGATTACCAATTAGTGTTTAGTATCTAATAGAATGTAATTTGGTTTTGATTTATTATTCACTTCTCTTTGATTTTTCTATGTGCCACCCTCATTCATTCAATCAGAAAAATGGGGGGAAATAAGAATAATGGTGGAAATGTGATAAAAAGAAGAATTTTATAAACTACTGCCCCAAAAAGAGCTTTCTAACATAAACATAAACTGGAAACTAAAAGTAAGAAACGCAAATTTTGCAATTACTGCGTACCATTTTTCAGGATGCTTTTTAGTTATCAGGATTTTTTTTGAGACAGAGTGGTTATGACATTTTTTATTGTTGTTTTTACCAGTTAGTCCATATTTTTACAGCATGTGAATAGCAGAAAATCTCTAGTGTTTATTCACTACGTCATTGGGCATATGTTGCAAATCCCATTTGAATTAGAGGATTTACATAATCATTATTTAACAATTCCCTTGAGCATCTAGGCAGCCATGGATTTCTCAAATCAACTCTCAGTTATACAGTTCTATCCATAGTTAGCTCCATGTCAGCCATATTAAATGATAGACCATCAATTTATTTGCCCGGGAAGAAAATCTACAAGGATTACTGAAACATCACCAAAATAAATCAGTAGTACATACAAGCTGACTAAAGTTCCCTCCTTACCTAACTAGGTAAATGTAAATTGTTCTCATTACTAGTGAAGTAGACAATGCTTTAGATGAAAAATACAATAGTGCAAAAATTCCCTAGAACAGATATCTCTGTTTTAAAAAATGTAGTAAATACAAATTATTTTGTGCAATTACACATTCACTATTAACTGTGACACACAAAGATGACAGTTGCCTAAGCTGGCAGTTGCAGCCCACTGATACTGAATAATGCATGAAATTGAATAATGCATGACAAAGTACTGTTTACTGACAATACTTCATTATACTATCAAAACACTAGTTTCTAATATGCCTCCAAAATGTTCATGGTCAGAGAAGCATATATAAATAAATGGATAAAGGCCAGCCCGTGGCTCACTTGGTAGAGTGCAGTGCTGATAAATAAATGGATGTAAGAAATCACTTTTAAATAACATAAAGAAAAAAGTAAATAATTTGTATTAATAAACATTTCTCCCGATCCCCACTAAATAAATGTTAACTGGTTTTTTNCAGTTAAGAGCTGGTATGCATGGTTATGCAATGTCAGTGGGGAATAACACTCCTTCTGTCTCTCAGCACAACCATCTTCAGTATATGGTTTATATCTTCACTTTCATGGTCACATGGTACCTATTAGAACTCTAGCCATCATGTCAGTGTTCTAGGCAAGAAGAAGGAAGAGTAAAAGATAAAAGGGTATACCTCTGAGCTCCCTTTAAATTGTTTTCCTAGAAGCCCCCATCTATGTGTTTTTATCTATTGGCAACTCCATTTGCAAGGGAAGCTGAAAAATACAGTTTTTTAAAATGTGGTTATATTGCCATCTCTAACTTTATAGGGTCTGTTACCAAAGAAGAAAGGGAAAATGGATATTAGGTGGGAATCTAGGGGTCTCTGCTATAATTAGGTTTGTTTTTTAGGAAGATAATTACAGTTATAACATGGAATATGGATTGAAGTGAGACTAAAGTAGATAGACTAGCAGGGGACTATTTAAATAATAAGTAAGAGGTGTTAAGCTCCTAAATTAAAGCAGTGCACTGGATATAGAGAAAAGAGGTAATATATTCAGGAGATATAATCAATAGGATTCAGGTACTAATTGATTGAGAGTAGTAGAAGAAAGGCTAAGGGAAGAACAGTACTTCTGGAACTTAGTAGAGAGCCTCACATGTGTGAAGCACTCAATAAATACTTTTTTAATGAATTAATTGTTTTGGTAGGTGATGGTAATATCAATCAAGTTTACAAATAAAGGAGGAGAATCAGGTTAGAAGTATGAAAAATCATTAATTAAGATTTAAATGCATTGATTTTGAGCTACCCATGGCTCATCTTTTTTGTTTGTTTCTTTTTTTGATGGCTGGCCGGTATAGGGATCTGAACCCTTGACCTTGGTGTTACAAGGCTGAACTCTAACCAGCTGAACCAAGTGGCTAGTCCTTCATGGCTCATCTTAATGAGGAAATCAAATCAGCAACTAAAAATATAGGTCTGAAAGTCAAGAGAAAGATACAAAATAGAAATGCATATTTGAGTCACTAATGAATATAGTTGATAAATGAAACCATGATAAACTAAATAAACAACAGGATATAGACCACAGATTGAGGATAGGATCTAAGATAGAATATTAAGGCACTTACTATACCTTTAAGCATTTACTGTAGGTAGAGCAAGGACTAAAAATGAATTTTGAGAGGTAGTTATTAAGAAGACAGGAGGGAAAACAAAAGCAAACAAAGAAAATAATATATAAGAAGGCAAAACAGAAAGTAGTTTTAAGACAAAGAATATGATTGGTTGTGCTAAATGCCTTCAGAGAAGTAGTCACCACTCCTGGGCATTGTTTGTCCCAGAAGAGAGTGCTGACTAACCAAGGGTCTAGACGCAAAAAAGTCAGGCATTATAGCAAAAGCAGATGACATACACATCCACACAATGGAATAGTAGGCAACCATTATGAAAAGTAATGGGAGGGCTGGCCAGTTAGCTCAATTGGTTAGAGCATGGTACTGATAACACCAACATCCACGGTTTGATCCCTGTACCAGCCAACCACCAAAAAAAAAGAAAGAAAGAAAAGAAAAAATACTGGGGAAATTCTCTATGGACTGTATGGGAAGAGCTCCAGCAGAGGTAGATTTACCATGAAGCTAATGAGGTTGAAGTTGCAAGACCCCTCACCGTCATGGCCCCTACATCTAATTTTATATTGAGATGTGTGTGTGTGTGCGTGTGTGTGTCTATTTGGCCACAAAAGAAATCTTAATACATTTTAAAAGACTAAGATCATAGAAAAATTGCTCTCTGACCACAATTACACAAGGAATTTTAGAAAATTCACAAACATGTAGAAATAAAACAACAGTCTCCTAAGTAAACAATGGGAAAAAAGAAATATCAGGGAAATTAGAGAGTACTTTGAGATAAAGATCAAAGTGCAATATATCAAAATTTATAGGATGCAGGGCTCATGCAGTGCTCAGAGGAAAATTTATACTTGTAAACTTCTATATTAAAAATAAGAAAAA